GGGGACCTGGCTGGCTGCTTTGTGGCTTTTTGCTTCAGGGAAGTATTTGATGTGGTTTGAAACTGCAGATGTGATTAGAGGGGCCAAATCCTACCAAGTGCCTACACAGCCAGACTTTTTTCTGTCATTTTTTTCACCTTATTATTGTTGTTGTCCAATCACCAAAGTACTTTGCATGGAGGTGTGAGAAGTCTCAGTGCTTCCTGGCTCACTGCATGGTGGCAGGAGTGATGGTGGGTTTGGCATGTTTGGTTCCCTCAGAGGCTCTGGGAGCTGGTGCAGCAGAGGGAGGCTGCTTTTCTGGGGAGTGCTCCCTGATGAAAGGGCCATTCCCATCTCTGCTGGGCAGAGGACATGGACACAGCTGTGAATCAGCAGTCAGACTTTATCTGACCTTTTATCTGTCTGACCTGCCCTCCCTACAAGATTGAACACAAAATGTCACACAGTTCCCTTCTATCAAGCCCACAGCCAAAGGTTTATCTAAATTACACGTGTCTGTGTGTCTTTAGTCATGCAGCCAATTTTCCATCAGTGGCTCTCTAAGCACTACATGTCCCTTGATCCACCACAATGGGTATCCAGCCAGGATTACAAAGCATGCAGATCCAAAAGTGACATTAGCCTGAAGCAATAAATAAACTGTTTCCAAACTACCTGTCTTGTTAGCAGCAAGACTTGCTCAGCTCTGCTCCCGTGAATGGCCTCATTTCATCTTCCAAATCCCAAGATGTGCACATTGAAAGGATCCCACATCCCCAGCTTGCTGCATGTGGAAATTATATTAACAGCAACTACACTCCTCAGCACAGAGCAATTAAAGGATCAGGTTAAATAACAACTAGTCTTTGTATCCAAGCCCAGAGCATGTGCTAAACAAATTTGTGCTTGTAGTCTACATCACTGATCAGTAAGTGGTTGTGGCAGTGGCAGGGATATATGGTCAGGAGCTGGGGCTGGGGGGCTGCAACTTACCCCAGCCCCAGGGGGATGCAGACATGAGTCCAAGTCACAACTTCATAGTTCTTCATTATTCTGTAAATAATCTCCCTGATACACAAGCACATGACATTTCTTTGCAAATTTGTTTGAATTTGCATCCAAATAATTTATATGAATGAGTCACTGCCTAATAAGAGACTTAAAAAATGGAAAAAGCATTAAATGAAAAATGTGAAAGTTTTCCCCTTTGCTTATCAAAATAATTAAAGATTACAGCTACCTTTTATATTAATTTATTAGAAAAAAGATACAGTTTAATGTGCAAATATATACACCAAACATTACAATGAAACATGAGGAAGGCAACCCCCTTCCCTCTAGCAATGACTAACTCCTTCATAACAGAGATGACTGTTTAATGCTTCCCCACAGATTTACAAGTACAAAAAATGTATAATGCTTCATTTGCACAAGACAAAAGTCTATTTTTATTTGAAAAAAAATAATTCTGGCTTTGACATGGCAAAAGTCTGCTATTTTGGTGGCTTTTGTTTTTTTTTTTTTAAACCTGAGCAAGTTTTGCAGAACAGGGGGACAAAGGGAAGGCATTGCCCTGTGCTTCGTTCGCATCACAGCATCTGATGGTCTTTGAATTACTAAACCACTGAATCACTTCAAGTGAATGCAACTCCAAAATCTACATCTCTGATGTAGTTAGTGACATAGAAGAAAGCGGGCACTACCATTGGCAAAAGTGAGCTGGCCAAAAACACCTGGCTCCAGTTAAATAGCTGTTGACATTTCTCAGGTTCATATCTGTCAGCAAGGACATTAATGCTGCCTCCTGTAACAAAGGAATTCTAAATGTGAAATGCAGTTTAGTCCAAAAAGCAAATGAGTTGTGGATCCTGCTATGCCTTGCTCATATGTGTGGTCATTGAAGGAGTGCAGACCAGATGAGGGCCTTAACAACCACCACAAGACTCAAAGCCTTGAGCTTAGTTATTTTCCACATCACCCTGCAACCAAGTTTCATCTGGCAACTCCACAGGGTGACATTTCCAATTAAACAAAAACTATTCTGCTCATTTAGAGCTTCTCTCCATTTTAAACGAGAGGGCCCAGCAGTGCTGGAGAAGGCACTACAAGTCCTGAGCTGGGCAATGCCAGTTCCCCCAGAAGACAAGTTTCCTAAGGGACCACTGGCCACCCCATGCTCATTTAGGTGCAGAGCCTCTCTCTGCATCAGCTCTCATGACACTTTTGAAAAAAATACATACAAATAACAGATCCATGGCAAAAAGAAGACACCACCAGGAGTGTGCCTGGCTGGCCCCAGAGCCGCAGTGAACCAAGGGCTCTGGCCTGGGCTATGCTTTCACACACCACACTGTCAAAAGCTGACTGAGTTTTCAGGTTTTCCTTCCTCTTTGGCCAAGGGATCGGGATTTAAGAACAGACTTAACTAAACAATGGCTCCTTTTTGCTCTGTAACACCCCTCCTCTCCCACCAGTTGGTTCTGTGGGTACTGGCCCACAGGTTTGTCATCGTGTACTAGAGCAAGGGCTGCTGTGGCTCCATGCACACCCAAATCCTTAGGGATAGGGTGGCCTCAGCAGCTTTGGCCTTTGTCATCTTCCTACCATCCTCCTCCTCTTTACCCTCTTTGAAGTATTGTGGAATTTGACCAAAACAATAGAAAAAAAAAGCTTTGGGGGAAGACTGCTCTGCTTTTGAATTTTTTTTTGTTGGATATTTTTAATTTCTCCTGTTTCAAGTGTTGTACTGGCACAAGAATGCATGTCACAGATCCTGGAGTAGAGGGTAAAAACAGACCTTACATGAAAATTTGAATAAACCCTCAAACTTAGCTTCTAGTTAAAAAGAGAAAGTTAGAAACCAGTGAGCAGCGTTTGATCAAGATAAGAGGGCGGTGGGGGCAAGCAGGGGACACAGGAAGTTGAAAGGGGCCATTCTGATCTAAGGACTGTCCTTGCCAAGGTATATGCTTATGTCCTTTTAGGGGAATAAAAATATCGAGAGAGCTCTTTTTTCTTTCTGTTAGCCAGGTTTGTTGAAATTTAAATATTTTTACAATAAACTAGAATAACAAGTGAGTCAGTTGTCTCCAATAACTCAGTGTTTTTCCTCTTCAGAAAATTTTCTGACAGCATGAAAAGAAACACTCCAGTCAAACACGATCTGATCTGTACGCGATGCTGATCCGCATCAGAGGCCGCCCTGACATCACTCCACAATCCAGGATCTGCAGTAGCAGAATACAACTTTACCTGCCCTCTGTGGAGATTTTCTGTCCCTAACATAAGACACTGGTCTTTTAACCCCTTCAGTACGTCATCATACACCAAGAGCTTTCAGTGATGCGTTATTTGTACACCTTGAAAGAAAGGCAATTCTTTTGAGCAGAAAGTCAAAGGTCTCAGTTCTGTGGCCCTTCTATGCTTCCCTCTCTCTGACACCTCTGTGGAGGTGCAGATCTCCACTGCCCCTGCTGCAATACCACTCCCAGGGCATGGTTGCTCACAGCTCTGCTAAATCAGTTTGAGGACAAACCCCTGGGTTTTAACAAACTGAATTTCACACCAGACAGACAAGATGTATACAGAAAAGTTGGAATTAATTTTCAAAATTTTTGTGAACATCAACTTTCACTTTAGAGCTTCGGTGAGGGGGCGAGGAGGAGCAGAGCATGGGGGAACAGCAGGTCAGCTATCTGTAGGATTAACCCCTGTTTTCCAAGCAGCTCTGGTCTGGGACACTTGGTGCCTGCAGGCCTGGGTGCCCAGTTTGCCCCAGAGTCAATAAAGGCGCTGGCGAACCTTTTTCTTGCAGGGCAAGCTAATGAGAGCCTGGTCACCACAGATCCCCAGGGTTTGGGCTAAAGAAGCAGTAAGACTTGCAAGCCCTTCAGCTCTCTTGAGGTAGGAGGAAAACTGTGTTTCTGTTGGCTATGCTGCCTCTCCCACAGGACATGAGACTGGGCCACATCTCTCAGCCTCTCAGAGTGCCCGAATGGTTGGAGCAGAGTGAGTGCAGAGGAGGAAGTTGAGTAGAAGCCTTGAAATGCCAGTGGTTTCTGCAATGACATTTCTACAACCTCTGTTTGGTAAATCAGCATTTTTGGGATGTCAGGTTACAGTAATGCAATGTGGTAACAACAGGCACACAAAGGGAGGGCAGTGACTTGGCACTGTCAGAGAAGAAATCTTTCGTAAGGGTCCTGTCTGTCTGTCCACGCCGACAGGATCAGACCTCTTATGGCTACTGGGACTTACCTACAGGAGCAAAGCCTGCGAGACCAAATCCAGAGTGGGTCACTCAGCGTCACTGCCTACTTCCATGAGTCAGGTGGCTGTGTGCCACTTTAAAATAAAGACTGCAGCCAAGCGTCTAAAGTTAAATATCTTATAAACTATACACATATGTGATCCTGAGATAGTGCCTGTGACAAGTCCCAAGGTAGATAAGCTTCCTGAACCCAGAGGTCCTCACGCCGCGTGAGCGCATTGTTGTTCTGTTCTGGCAGGCTCCCGGCCTCTCTCGGAGCGCGCTGCACTTCCTAACGCTCTTTTTTTTTTGGGGTGGGTCTAGTGAAACAATCAGATTGACGACTGCTACCAGCAACTCCAATGGCATTTCTTCTGCTGTTCAGATGAAAGCATTCTTGATCCTTTGCCAGTTCTCTCAAGACTTGCAGAAACAGGCTCACAGCTTCCCTTTCTATTTTTTGGCCAGCCAAGGGCTGTGTGGCTGCAGCCTCCTGCTAGAAGAGCAGCTGTGCTGTGCCGTGCTGAAGACACTTCTCAAGATAGGGGAGAAAACATCAGTAGGAATCAGACAGAAAGGCGACAAGTATGAGCCACAAAGGAGAGAAGAAGCTTAATACAATGACTGTCGTCCAGAGGGTCAAAGACCATGCGTTCCAGTCGCATGGGCACGTAGTCCTGTTTTGAGTTCTGACAGCATCAGCTCACAGTCAGACCTTTTAAACCCAGGGGGAAAAATATTTTTCAAAATTCTCTTTGCTTAAGCACTATATATTCAAAAAGTTCTTTTTATTGTTTCAGTATTTTAGCCCTTAGTTGATTAGTCACCAATACCTGTCAGATGCCTGCTGCCATAAAAGCACTCCAAGCACCTGCAGTATTTGTAGGAATATTAAAAAATAGCTTTAGCAACTAGGAATTATGCAACTGAGGGAGAAGGCAGGACGAACTAGATTAATGCAACTTGTAGTGGATTTGTTAACGTTAAGTGTATGACTCGTCGCAGAATCATGCCAGAAAATGGTACCATGTAGCTTAGTGGTAAGGGCAGTAGAAAGAGTAATGCATTACTTTAATCATCAGTGAACCACTCACTCACTCAACATACTATTTCCAGCTGAAATCAAAGGTTTCCAGTAAAAATGCCTCTACAGATTGTATCTTACAACTCTCTCTGCCTTTGAACTCTACTGTGATAGCGGCTTCATTAACATTGTGGTTCCAGTGCAAAAAAAATAAAATCTTCCAGATCCCAAATCTTCTTCCTTTAGACTTTTGATTGTCTTTCATCTGTCCATTCCTGCTTAGTGTTCTGTAAAGCTTGAGTTTTCTGTTCATCTACCTGGACATAGTCCACCCTCTGTTCCTCAGACAGAAAAGGTTTCTGCAGGACAGAGAAGAAAAAACCAATATATTAACTTCCAGGTTGAAAAGGGATGCTAGTGAAACTTGTCTTGATTTTCTATTTTCCCTTTCCCTCGTTCCTTGATTGCTTCACTTCACCTTGAAGCTCACAGTGACATCAGCTGACAAAAGCATTGCTTTACAGCCTGCTTTAGCTATAATTATCCATCTGTTACTCTGTCACTCAGCCCAGCACAGTGAGCGAGGGAAACGTGCTGTGCTGGCTACTTCCATGCAGATAATCACTCTCTCCTCATCTGAGTGATCCTGCTGCAGGGATGAACTAACTGCATTTGAGCTACAGGGAGGGTTTAAATAAGAAAGCTTAAGAGTCTTTTGCATCTAGGAGTATTGGCTGATGGGGAAAATGATACACAGGACATAAGGTGACCCAAACTGATAACAGTTAATTTCTTTGCAGTGGTACCTACCCACCACCTGGGCAGGTTAGAAGCTCTTTGGAACAAAGAATGTATTTTCTCAGCAAAGGAAATTGAAATGGTTTTGGTGATGCAAGGATAAAGATGCACATTTTGCCATGTTACAAGAGATGGTACAGTTCTACCCCATGAATTTATCACAGGCCGTAAATTTGTTACTGCAAAGAGATTTGGGGGAAAACTAGCAGGAAAGGCTTTGTGGAGACTAGATGAAAATGAAAGAGCATGCAGAGATCCTGAAGGCATCAACCAGCTTGCCCACAAGCCCTCATGGCTGTCTCACGCACTGTACTGAGCTCATGTTAACAGCATCCCTGTGAGTCATACTAAGGACACCTTGTCATCACCATAATCATGCTCTTATTATATTAATCTTGAGCCTGCCACAGATGCAGTCAGCTGGAAACACGACTGCCTTCATCGTGACACTTGGGGCACCTAGCAGAATGTGACCCTGGGTCTTGATCTCCTCCCAGCAGACAAATAGACAGGAGGCTGTGGGATTTTTCAGATGACTCGTACCTTCTGCACAGGGGATGGGGAAGCAGAATTAAAATCCAGTGCTAAGTAATCAAGGTTAGATTTCCTTGTCCATGGAAAAGCACCACTGTATGGAGATGTTGCCTGTCTGTGTTCCTGTCAGGAAAGAAGAGAAACTTTTAATGCTCTTAAAACATGATCCTAAAAGGAAGCAGGATCACAACTGTAAGATTTGCCTGATAAAATGAGAGTGAGGACAGTCAGGACCCACCTAATTTTCTATGCCAAGGGTGCATTTGGTTATTAACCACAGCATAACACTGATAATTGTGGGATGACAAAAAGAAAGTGTGAGAGCCTTTTCCTCCTGGTAATTATGGCAAAACAAAAAAACATGCAATTTTATCAGGAAGGACTTGTGCTCAGCTTCTCAACCCAAGCTCCTGGAAGGCTCAGAGTTGCAGGGGTGTTCTCTTAAACATCATCATTCAGTGAATTTGAAGAAATTGTGAAAATTCTGCTCAAATCTAGCAACTGAAAATTAATCTCACGAAAATCACAGGTGATCACAAATGCATGGAAGGGTTTATTTGACCAGAGAAATCAAATGGGGAGTGGTTACAACTAGAACTGCCCTCCTGAGCACATTTTGATCTGGTAGAGATATGAGTTAACATTTTAGACTGTGTTTCATGGAGGCTGTGGTCAGTTTTGCAATATATTTTTATAGACATTACTCTTGAGCTTTGGCTATGGAGCCAGATTTGTAGACATTGGCTCAGATCAAGGATTTGAGATCCATTTGTAGCTAAAATTCAAAGGAAACCAAGATTCTGGACTTTTGCAAGATATGGCTAAAGAGTAAATGAAGAAAAGGAGACCACGAAGCCAGATGTTCTTCTTTCATGGGATGGGAAGTGGGGTTAGTGCCACCAGCCAAAGCAGAAGCAATAAGAGACTTTAATGGGAGTTCTGTTTCTGCACAATATTTGGTGTGTTTCTTTAGGAAGCTAACGGCTTTCTGTCATTTCCTGGGAGATTCTGCAGGGCACATTTTTAGAAGGCGAAAAGATTTAATTTCCCTTTGCCTTAATGAGTTCTCATGTAAATATGGCTGATCCCTGTGATCTCTTGGAACTGCTCAGCAACATTCGTGGGCGAACAGCTGAGTTCTGCAGAGCAGGAAAAGGGCTTCCCTTATCTCTCCGTAAATTGGTCCCAGTGTCTATGGTTTAAAACCGTTTCATCATTTAAAAAAAAACCCAGAAGGCAAAGGACAAACCTCCTCAACGTTTTCTCTTAGAAAACAAACTTCTGCATTCTCCATCAATGTGACAGAGCAGAATAAAGCAAAGGATGGCTGTGTGAAAATGAAGATTACCATATGAATGTAACTTTCTTCCTCTTCTCCGGAAACTGAATTGGCAAATATTCTTGCTGAATTAATACCGTCTCTTTCTGGTGAGATAAAGCTCATTCGATTGCTATGAAGAAAAACACAGGAGAGGTTAAGGAAGCATCTTACAGATGCTCTGAAATGAAGCCAAAGCCTGACACAGTCCATATGGTGAATAAACTCACACTAACGCTGCAGCCTTTATGGAGAGAATGTCCAAAACCACTCCTTAGTTCTAGAAATAGTGTGCTATATTGCTATGAGTGGTTTTGTTGATTTTCTTTTCTTCTGGGATTTATGAAAATTTGCTTTCTGGTATGACAGAAAGCATAAAACATTGAAGCAATTGCTCGAGCAAGGGGCACAGAGACAACTATCATTCATTTGGGTAATAATGAGGGCAGTTACTTAGCTGTGAGGGTATCCACATATTGGAGATTCATGTGAATTAATCAGCTGCTGGAGGTCCATGCAGAGGAACTTGTCTGGCTTTGCACACAGTGGCAACACATGCTATCTCTGCTATGGAGATGGCTGTGACTCAGCTCTTGCACATGAAATCTCTTCCACTACTGCAGAATCACTTCCACTTCCATGACTGTCAGAGGTACACGGTGAGTAACTGACTGCAGGCGAGTGCAGTGGGGTCAGTCAGTAGGAAATTAGGTGGCCACTTTGAGCAGCATGAACAGCATAATTCCTTTTGCTTCATTAGTTCCAGGCATGCTTTTTTTTTTAGCTTTGTTAGTGTAGAACATGCACGCTCCCCCTGAGCTTGTTATCCTCCAGGACTCTGCACTGTGTCAGCACTGATTAACCCCAGTGTTCTGGCAGGGATGCTTGGGAGGCAGACTATTGGCTTTCCCTGGGAGGCAGTGCCAAAGGGCTTAACCAGCTTTGGACTCAATGGGCTGAGAGAGGGGTCTGAAACAGAGAAACTGTCTGTCTTATGTCTCTTTTGCCCTTCACATGACAACCTGAAGTGAGTGGAAATGCCCTGCCTGGCACTCATGTTAGCAAAACCCCACATTTCCTGGAGTGCCTGGGGTGTGCAGAGGAGGTTGGTGGGAATTCCTGGCAATCGCATGCACACTCCAGCACAGCTGCTTTCCCCTTAGTGCCAAGATCCCCCCAGCCAGCAGGCTGCAGTCCTCCCCTGCTCATGAATTCCCTGAAAATGAGTTTTCTGCTGCCCTTGGAGCCAAACAGTATCATCTGTTCATACTACCTGGGCTTTGAAATCAAAAGCATTTGTTTTACTAACAACTAATTTCCAGTGACAAAAGGCCACACCAACAGTTCAAGTCTGAATTGCTGTGTGGCAGTGCAGAATTCTACGCTCAGGCTCCAAGTCAGGCAGATCTTTATCTCATCTGGTTCTCCCTTGCTATATTAATTTTCAGGAACAAAATTGGCTCTTCCACTTAGAAAAAAAAAAAGAGTTTAGGCATGCAAAGCTTTTATCCAGCATAGCAGCCACACCAGAGTGCAGACCAGCTCCAGGCTGCTTAAAAGGAACCTTCAAAACAGACTGAGCATCACTGCATGAGGCTGAGTGCACTGGAGCTGCCCATCGTGAAAGGGAGCCTTGCTTTTTAGAGACAGCAAAAGCCTGGGGAACGCTGGAAGGAACCCTGGGGAATTTTTGTTTGTGGACTTTGCCAGGAAACTGTTTCTTGTGGGATGTGATAAGTTATTTTTAACTCTAATCCACAATGCTAATGCTGAAAAGATTGGAATGGCAGGTTTCTTGTTGACTTACTAAGGCACAGTCCACATCCTGGTCACGGCAGCATGCTCCCGGATTGTGGAGAGGTTCCTCAAGTCCAGAGGAGGTGGCCGTGCTGTAAGGAGATACAAAACCAATTACATTTCCAATAGCAGAGCTAATGGAAAGTACAGACTGGTTAGAAAAATGCAGTTTTATATTAACAGAAAGAAACTAACGGAGTATTTCACAGAACATAACTAAGACAGAAATCAGTAACAAATGACTGCTTCAGTCACTGCTGGAAAGCAAAGTCCCTCAATCACCTCAATAACATGTCAATAACACAGTAAATACAGTGGGCATAAGGAGAGCAAATGCCCCATGAGATCTCTGAGTTTGCCCCAAATCTGCTCTGGATACACTGCCATTGAGAGGCTGGTTCATCCTACAGGTCATAACAGGTTTTGGGCTCTGTTCTAAACAAAAAGACTTCACACATTGGGATCCAAGATCATTCCTGTCCCCAATCAATGTACACATGCCCTCCATTCTCAAAACCCTTTCAGAAAGGACATGAACTTGCTTCACTTCATGGCAGTGGTCTAAATTTCTGCCCCCACTTTACAGTAACATTTTCTATACCAATTTCTGAGTAATCCTGTGGCTCTGCAACCCAAAGAGCTTTACTGAAGGCCAGGTTTAGGCAATTTCTCCGCTGCAAACCTGAACTTTGTCCCCAGTATATTCTCTAGAAGTGCAACCCAGATTTTGGAGATGCCATGAAAACCAGGAGTGGAAAATTACCGTCAGCAAAAGCATCTGCAGGAAATTCCTAATTAAACCAAACAGCTGTGCCTACCCAACAGAGATTTAACCAACAGCCCACACATCAAGTATGAGTATTTGAGTGTTTGGATGCCCCATTCCTGGAAGGTCAGGGAACCGGTGAGACAGCAGTACATGTGCTTCAGAGCAGCAGGTTTAGTCTGCTGTCTCTCGAAGGTGTTTGCACTTGGAGTGGATCTGAAGCTGGAGTGTGGAGCCACCTGGGCTTTGACTGTGAAAGTAGCCATGGATGCTTTTCTTCTGCTCACAAACCACCCTGCAGGCACATCCCTGGTTACAGTACTGTGAGTCACTTACAAAGCTTTTCAGTGCATCTTCTACAGTGGGAAACACTTCAAAACATGCCAAGGACACTATCAAAGGAGGCCACCCATGTCCCTGCCATCAGGACCCCCTGGCTGCCACTTGCACTTGGGTCTGGGCTTACGTTTCCTACGAGGCTTGAGGTCTCGGTTCACTGGAGGGGGCTCCACGTCCGAGGGCAGCTCAGGTAACGGGCTGGTGAGTTTTTCAGTGCTGACGACAGGGAAGGTAAAGGTGGCCGAGCCAGGGCTCATGGGGATGTAGCCGTCGGGGGAACAGTCGGAGCCGGGCGCGGAGGGAGAGGTGCTGGGGCGCATGGGCACGTAGCTGTCCTCCACGCCGTCCGAGGCCGAAGAGTAGAGCGGGGAGAACCGGCAGGGCTTCGGAAGCAAAGGAGGAAAAGAAAGAGAAATAGGTCAATAAATGCACAGCCAACCCCCTGCAAGCCAGGAGGTGCTTCGAGCTGGGAACAGATCTGAGCCAAGCGCAGTCCAGGAGAGCTCTGATGAGACCTTTCAGAGAGATGCAAGATGGAAAGACAGGAGACAAACACATGAGTTCAGATGCACAGCCCAGCTTTGGAGAGGTCCACTTCTGAGCTTTGCAAGCCACTGCTGGAAACTAGAGCCAAACTTATCCGTGACTGTAGTAGGTTAAATCCTCCGACTTCAGTGAGGTTGCACTTGCCCCTCCCAGCAGTAATTCTGACCTATAAAATGAGGGAGGCTCCTTCATACAAAAAAAAAAATCTGAAAGGAGAACATCTGATGAACTAGATTTTTGTGGATGTGGAAGCTGAGAGAGCAGACACAGACTTACAAGTTGCTTCTGATCGCTGAGAATAAGCACTAGAAAATAATTTCATGCAGGCTGGTGCTGGCTGAGTGGCCAGACGGAGAGATTACAAACCTTGCAAGCTTTCAAACGGGGGAAAAACATAAGTTGCCCAGCACCAGAGCTTACATTCACACAGCAAAGGATCTCCCACAGAAGACAGTATCCAGCACACTGGCTGTGTGATGTGAGATGGTGCCACACAGAACTGTGTCTGTCAAAGGCTGAGACGGGAAGCTTTGGACTGACAGAGCCCTCAATCACAGGTGCTTTGAGAGCAGGCACTTTCCCATGTCCTAAAGAAGAGATATCCCTCAGGATCATGAAGTGGTAGACTTCTTTAGACCCTTTCTTTCCAGGGATAAGCCATTTTCTCTGGTGCCCTTGGTCAACAGTTTAATTCTTGAGGCTACTGTAACCTTTTTCATAACAGACCCAGCTTCATCTGCCTTAAAACCAGGGTGCTTAGTTTTGTGGCCTACCTCTCCCTCCTCCCTCAAAAGCAGCAGCGGAGGCCACAAAGCAGCAGCAGAGAAGTTGCCCAAAGCCAAGTGCTTCTTCCATTTTTTCAATTCTTCTCCTGAACACAGGAGGGGGATGACTGAATATCAGGATGCGAAATGATTCACTCTCTGAAGTTTGCCATGTGTCAGTGTTTTAAATTTGTGCAAGCAGAGTACTTACCAAATTCAAGCTAAGCCTCTTATCTCGACTTCTTAAGGAACTGCCTTCCATGTCTGCTGCAAGGAAAAGAGAAGTGATTAAAAATGTGATAAGGCAGTGCAACCTTACAGAGATAATTCTGGAGTAAAACTCCTAAATGAGGAAATCCAATGACACTTAAGACCAGATCCAACTCAGTAGCATTTCAAGAGTGATTACATCCATTTTAAGTATGATGAAACCAAGGAACATGTTCATGTATAATCCAGCTGTAACTTATGCTTCCTGTAAGTTGGGGAGAATGGCTGGTGTGGGAGCAAGGAAGCAAAAGTTTAAACCCAGAGAGCTCTAGTCGCTCTCTGTCAAAGTGGGGAAATTACATGAAAAGGGAATATTATTTCATTGTTGCCTGGAAAGTTATTTAGGAGCCTGGTATGTAAGGTGTCATGGAAGTAAGTGTTATTGTACAGAGAGTGGTGCATGGGGAAACTTATAGTAGGAGAAAAATTCTTTGCTTTGCCATCCAGAAGTGCTGATATGGTGCAAGTGGCTCAAGCTGATGGGGAAAAAACAGCCAGAGAAACAGTTACCAGTCTCAGTGTCCTGTTTTGCAGGTGGGCCTTTGTCTTGGTGCAGGTCCATTTTATTTTTCAAGCAAAACCCAAAAGCTCTAAAATCTACCACTCAGTGCATAGAAGATCAGCAGTGGGAGATGCTTACAAACACCGCTTTTTTCTGGAAAGGGATTTTCTGTGCAGAAAATGGCTTTTCTATGGGAATGCCTTAAAACCCTGAAACCATGTTAATCCACTCTCTGCTCTTATGATGGAGATGTTGGTACTGCACTGCAACTGGGGGCATTTGTGGTGGTTATTTATTATTTTGGCACAAGGCTCCATCAGATGCCAGGACACAGATGCTTTACATGTGTACAGCTCATCCCCCTTCATGGCACTTCAACCAGCACATACTGCCTTTACACAGGGTTAATTACATCTGTGCACCTTTTGCAGGTTGCCAAGGGCAAAAAGTGAAGGAAATGACTCAAGTGGGCTCACTGTGGGAGCTGGTGAGGAAGAGCTGCTTTCTCCTTGTTTCTTTTTCTGATCTTTCTTGTTAAACACATCTTAATTCAGAGTTTAACCTTTCGAATAGTTTCAGCTTCACTTAGGGCAAGAAAAAGTGGCAGCACTTATTAATTCATTGCTGCCCCCATCAGGCAGAGATAACCCTGCAGCACTGCAGCACAACATGACATTTGGCCACTTAATCCTCTTAAAACATTTCGGTGTAAATTGGGTTGGAGGAACATGAATGGCTCAAGTGTGCCCGTGATGTTGGAACATGTGCAGAAGCAAGAGCAGCACCTTTCAGGGAGCAACAAAATGTAGCTGATAATCAAGAATAGCAATTCCACTGATGGGTGTTTCTCCAGAAACCTTCCAAGAATTGTTTGTACACTGATAAACAGGCTGGACAGAGATCTCCTTGCTTTAGCTTCTGAGCTTTAAGAGCAAGATCTAACAGCCCCAAATATTGTCTGGTCATTTAAACTGCAGGAGCCTAAAGGATGCTTGTCCTTAAAAACCTATGTTTTTTTCCTCATCAGAACTGAAGGTTTTCATATCTCTGCAGTATACTTGATGATTTCCAGCCGGGTATCCCAGCTGCCTTTCTCTGTTCTGTGGCTCTACATAATAAAGTTTCCTCATTCTGCCTTTACTGGTTTCTGATACCATGGTGTTCTGGGTTTTTGACTTATTTTTGTTTGTGATTATGGTGTTTCAGGAACAAGTGGAAAAGCCAGCTCAGCTCAGAGTAGAGTCTGCTTTGCAGCGGAGCATCACCCTATAGCAGCAGGTTTTCAGACTGCTCTGCCTGAAGTGCAAGGACAGAGTGGGATTTGTTCAAGGACACACAGAGTCCCTGGTTCAATTGGGATTACATCCCATCCCCAGCGTCTCCCTGACTTCCTGGTCTTTACTCTAAGCTGCAAAAAGACATGCTGCTCTTGTGGAATGGGCTGGAAGCAGAGAAGCAGCACAGCTCCGAAAGAATTTCCCATGTGCGAGCCCACACTTTGACCTGCATAAACAGAGATTTTGGCATTGCCTGATTCAGTGGCTGACTTTTCATTTTGGTGGTTTTTACTACTTTCCCTTTTGGAGAGGGAGGGGGCATGGAAAACTAGCAAGTCATGAGGTACCCTGAAGGGATGACAGCAAAATTGCTGCCCATTTGTACACACACTGAGGGGCTTCTACAGAGTAGGAGCTGAACATGAGGGACAGGCCTGAATCCTGCTTGCTAATTCATTTGAAAGAAGGATTTTGTGTTGCCTTGGGTGGTGTATGATTCCACAGAGGGGAGGACAGAAAGACACAACTGGAAGTTAGCACCCACTCTGTGCTCTATCCCTCACATTGGTCCTGCTTTGCCAGCTCTCGGCAGTGCACTCACCTTTCCAGTTCCTCATGTTGTCTAAGCTGGACAGGGAGATCCTCCTGGGCACCAGAGCGACCTGAGCCCTGCCGATCCCTGCGTGCCCGTTCTGGAGGGCCCCGCCGCCCACCTCCTCCCCTCTCCTGTCCGAGAAGTGGGTTGGTTTGGGGGGCCGTGGTGGAGGCGTGTTGGACAGGATGTCCAGCTGGGTTACACCGTAGGGCAGCGCGTTTTGGCTCTTGTCGATCTGAAAGGTTGGTGTCAGCGGTGTCCCCAGCAGGGGAGAAGAGGAGGAAAAGTCACTGGATGGCCCACTAATGTCTATGTTCCTGGACATGGTGCTGGGATTTGCCAGTGGGGCCCCGTCCTGGTGCACAGTGCCAGCACTGGTTGGCTGTACAAGGTACAAGGAGGGTTGGGATTGCAAGGAGTCAACAAAAACATCGTCTGATGAAGTTTGCTCCAGAGATCTGTCTGAATTTGACCAGCTGTCACACCTGCAAGAGGCAGAGGTCAGGAACTGAGCTTTCCTTTTCTCCTGGTTGCAAGAACACAGCAAACAAAAAACCCAACCCCACAGTTCAGGACAAAATCTGTCCCTTCCCTGTGACTGTGGAGGGTCCCCCCTGGGCTGGACAGGGGGATGGGACACTTTGTGGAGCACCTTGGGCAGCAGCAGGTGTCTGGAGGGAGGCTGTGTGTGAGGTCCCCAGCCACCCACCCTGGAAAGGGACAGGACCAACAAATGACGCTCGACCGCTAATCTGCGCTATGAAAAGCACCCTCCAAATTGGATTAGGCTGGTGGGCCCCTGCAGTGCCCGGGAGCCTACCCTGAGTGGCAGGGCTCCAGGAGCGGTGTGCCCCAATTTCATCACTGGGCAGGCTGAGGACGGCTCCAGCCTGACGCATCCAGCAGACCCCAGACTTACCTGTTGTGGCTGAGCTTGCCCGACTCGCAGTTGGAGAGGAAGAGGTAGTCGGGGAGGAAGACTGACCCTGACTCGCTGGGGGTCTCCTCCGTGGCGGACGCGTCGGCAGCAGCGGTGTCGACGGAGAAGGAGGGGTCGGCGATGCGGGAGGTGTGGGTGGAGGCGGCTGGTGATGGCTGCGGGGACGAGGTGGTGTGGGACAGGCTCTCCACGGAACCTGCAATGGGAACGGATGGCCCCGGCTGAGGGACGGCTCTGACTCGCCCCAGCCCACTGCCTCTTCTGGCTGCCACCACCCTGCTTTTACACCAGGGGTGTTTTACCCCAGAGGGGTGGTGAGTCAAGGCAAAAACTGGTTCTGGGGACAGGGCAGCCCAATTTTGCAGCTCCCCCTGCCCAGGTTGTCAAATTGAAGGGCTGCAGAAGGTACAGACCCTCTTCCTCTGGGGTCCTGCACTCCTGCAGGGCTGTGGCATACCTCCTGCAGCCAGCAATGAAGACAGCCTCTGCTGAAGAGAGAGCTGAGGCACAGCTGCCTGCTTCATCAAGTATTTTTTGAGTATCTAATGCAAATAATTAATTATTAATCTCCAACACTTCAAATTAATGGTGACAAGGAAAGGGATTGATTTCCTCCCACTTTCTAGATCTCAGTGGACAAAATGGAGCTTTGCAGCTCATGGAGTAGCCAGACAAGCTCTGAACTTGCCTGCAAACTCCTTATGCCTCTCTGGGCTGGACATCAAAGCCACAAAAGCTGTAATGTAGCTGTTTCTGCCCAGCTGGAGGCTTCTTGGCTCTGCTGAGAAAAGTAACACTATTTTTCTGGAGGCCACAAGACACAAGGGAGCCTGTTCTCAGTGACACCTTCTCTGGCCATAACACTCCAGTCACCCTGGCACAGAGCAGGGTGACAGTAGGAGAGGAACAGCTCTGGGCTGCAGCCAGCGGGGCTGGCCCAGAGCTCAGACCATCAAGACCACCCTTCACTGGCAGCATGTGTCCAAGGCACTCAGGCCCATCTGGCCTGGGAACTGCCAGGCAGCACAGATAAGTCTGGTTCTGTTCCTCTCCCAACCTTCAGCCCTGCTAGATAGCTGGGGACATGGGGCTGGGGGATGAAGGAGTGATGGCTGAACCACACAGAGTTAAGGCTAAACACAGCCTCTGGCCCAGCTTTTGGGGCATTTCAATGCAAAAAATCAAGTCCTTAGTGCAAGCTGGACCTCCCACCACGCAAGGAGTGGAGTGGGAAGGGTCTTTGCAGAGCAGCTCCCTAAAAGCATCTGCTCCTGGCAGGAATCAAAAATGGCAGCACTAAGAGCACAAGTCCTCAGCTGGACAGTATGATTTTTCTAATGAAATTTCAGGTTGCTGCATGGCAGTTCCCTCACCAGGGCTGTGCAGGGACCAGGCAGTGCTCACTGGGTGTCCCAAATGTCCCCAACACCTGCAGGGCTCGGCAGTGGGTGCCCATCTCTCTGGCTGAGGTGCAGACACTGCCTGAGTCAAAGCCTCAAAAACCTTCTTCAAAATGAAAAACCCCACAGCAAAAAGAAACACAAGAAAACAGCCACTGCTGATAAAACCACGCCAAGCATAAACATGTCTCCAAAGTGTTGCAGGATGGCAGATTTCTCTAACGCCGATATCCAGAATTTGCTGGAAAAGCTGGGAACCAGCTGCATGCAGCCTGCAGGTCAGATCCTGCACTGTGTGAGGAGGTCCTGAGATGCTCCAGCAGGTCCAGCCTAGTCCTCAGCTCAACAGAGCCACAAGCCTTGGCACTGTACCAGGTTGTTGCAGTCACTTCTCAGCCCTGGGAGGTGCTGGGTATATGTACAAGCAGATCAGGAGGGATGGAGAGGGCTGCCAAGACTTGGGTTGTTAGACAGCAACATCACTAAACACAAACTGAACTCTGTCATGGTGCAATTCTTGGGGCTGTCATGTACAGGGGCAGCAGTATGGCTCAATGATCCTTGTGAGTCCCTTCCAACTGAGGATATTGTATGATTGTATGAGACCCAGAGTCTCATGCCAACCACAGCAACATTCACAGTCAGAAGAAGAATAAAAGAGCTGATCTTCCCTTCCTGCACTATCCCACACCTCATCCTTTTGAATGGGGGAGAGAGCTGCCTCTTTCCTTCCCATCTACCAGCATGCACTCACTGCTGCTTCCTCCCATTAGCTTTGGAGGTCTGGGGCAGTGATGGGCCTCAGGTCAGCAAAGCATATAAGCACGTGCTTAAATTCAAGTTTAAGCAAAGGATTTGCTTTAATTTTGAGCAGGTGCTTATAGCAGCAGGGTTTCAGCAGTGAGCATCTGGAAGGAATGGCTTTTACAAGGTTTCACATTTGCAAAGCAGAGCTGAGGGCTGCAGGCTTCCCATCTGAAAAATAACTTTTGTTCATCGTGCTGGCTCAGACAGTAACTCTGCTCTCCAATCTTGGACTCGGAGAGCTGTCTTGCAAGTTGACAATGATCAAATATGCACTGGGCTGACTCCCTAGGGATCTCAGAAAAGCATGTTCACATCACCATCTGACTACATTAAAAAAAGCCCAAACCAACAACTAAAACTGCCACAGTGCATAAGAAAGAAATTAATGACATTCTGGGTTATTAACACAGAGAACGAACAGGCCTGAACTCCATCTGGTACTCACAGGGTTTAGCCATGGATTATCCCATCAGGAAAGGCTGTGAGCTGCAGACCACATGGCAATGGTTGTGAGCAGCAGGGAGGGATGGGGACAGTACAGACCTGCCCTTTTCTAACCTTCAGGAGCTCAGGAACCTGCAGTCAGCTCCTAACAGGCTGTCCCTGCCCCTGCCAGCTCTGCTGGTAACCCAATCCTGTGCATTAGAGCTGTACCGCAACAGCAGCTGGGCAGAATAAATTATGCATGGCTACTTTTAACGGTGAGAAGGCAGAGAATAGGTTTGGTGCCTGCCCTACCCTTTGCCAGAGAGACAGCAGGAGGCTTCAGCTGCCAAAATAACTGCTTTGGTGGGTACTAACCCAAAAAATTACTGCCCTGCCATCATGGGGAAAGTCACCATGGAGGATGCTCTGCATCACGGGGAAAGTCACCATGCAGGTTTCCCCCCTGCTACAGACCCCAGCCCACCCCTCAAGAATTGTCATGGTGCAACAGCAGTGCAGGGACATGGTGAAATGGGGGGTTCTAGCCCCCCCCAAGGCTACACAGCCATACCAAAGAGGTAAACCCACCCCTCGTGGCCGGAGGCCAGAGCCTGATGTCAAACAGCAGCCTTGAGTCTGTGCAGCTGAAAAGGGATTTTCTCCTGTGGAGAGGTGAGAGTGGAGGGAGTAGACCCTGGCTCCCCTTGCTCCCAGTGTGCTACTCTGGCTGGGAGAGAAGCTCCCCAGTTTGGCTGCAGCAAGGCCCTGGGGAGTCAAACCATCCCTTGCCCATGTGCAATGTCTGTACACACTGGCAAATAAAATAAAAAAAATAAATAAAAATAATTAAAAAAATAAAATAGAGACACATTTAAAGAGGCAAAGAAACCATCAGGGGAGCAGGCAGAATGGAAGAAGCTCCCAGCAATGGGTGAGGATGAGTGTGAACAACACAGTAACAAGAGGTGAGGGAGAGGTAGAAGAGCAGAAATGCTGTAATTCAACTGCCAGCAGCCAAGAGGGACCCAAGGATAACCTGTCCCTTAAAGTGATCCTGCCAACATCATGGTCCATGTGCTGTGCAGGGAGGGCACCACTGGGGGAGTCTCTCCAGGGACATCCTGCTCTACTGTGGTCCTGGGTGCTGTGGGAGAGAGTAGAGCAATAGGGAAGAGATGGAGATCAGCTGGGATCTTCAGGAAAGAGATGCATCCAGGATGAGCAAGGTGTTTATAGAAGATGTTGAACTACATCTGGAACCTGTGGATGGTGTGAAGGTGAAACCCAAGATGAAATGCCCCTCTTGGGCTGAGGAGCTGCCTGCCAAGGCACAGCCTGGCAGAGCATTATCTTTAACAGTAAGGCTTCCTACTGAAACAGGTTAAATAACCTTCCCAGCAGTTTCTCCAGTGAAAAGCTGCTATATTGAATTGTATCAATTAGTCATGGTTTCAGCTTGCACATTGGGTAAACTGTGCCCCGATATCCCACAGCCACCTTATTTCATCTCCTTCCTTGCCCCAACCACTTGGGCCAAGCATCCTCTTGATCCCTTGCATGGCCATGGGTCCATGGGGGTTGGAGAATGATGGCTCTACTTGGAGACTTCCCCGAAGATGAAAGCAAGATTTAAATAGAAATGGAAGGAAAACAGGGAGCAAGGCCTCTTCCTCTCTCCTTCAGCTGACTCCTCCAAAGGTGCCACCTCCCCTGGCATTTCCAGCACAGCCAGTGCCACAGTTTCTTGTGGCAGCTGAGTGTTGCAGTGTGCTGAGTGCTGCTGGCAAGTCCTTCCTGACAGCCGCCCTCCCAGGTGCTTCCTGACATCTGCCTGGATCTTGCACTTCATCTCTGTCTCTCAGCCCTGCCTCTCCTGTTGACAACAAAGTTGTCCTCACAGGAGCCACGTCTCTGGTAACTTTGCATCTGGCTGCTAACACCCCATACTGGAGGCCTCTGGTGATGGGAAACCAGCTGTTCATCCAGCTTCCTTGCTATTGGAAGGGACTAACTGGGAATGACAGGACAGTGTTTAAAGCTGAGTCACTCTCTAAACCTGTGGCTGCATTTTGTGCACTAAACAAAGAAAGCAGCAGATTAGGTTTTGGCCTCAAAGTCACAACAAATTTTCAGAGATGTAGAGATTAAGAATGATTGATTTCACAACATATAATATTGTCTTTCAGCTTCATTTTTAAAGGTAGAACAGCTTATTAAAATTTTCTGCAATGGTTGTGTCTTTCTGCTGATGATTCGTATCAGGGACTATTATTTTTTTAACACAGTAGCATTCAAGTTAAAAAAACATATGACATTTAATAGGGCTTTTCTCTTCCAATGTTAATTTTTAAGGGTAATTTGTTTAAATCTACAGGCTCTTGGGGGATTTAGGAGCTTCCAAAAAGCTGAAGCAATTAGCAACTGTTTGAAATATGATGTGCAACTTGTGGAGCCGTGTAGATTTAAATCAGAGGATCTGAATATGCCCAGCAGCCTGACCTGAATACACCCCAGACTTGAGCTCACCGGCATGAGCTGCAGGATAAATAGAAGCTCTTATGAGCTATTTGGCATTAGAGATACAGTAAGTGCATGTCTGGAGGCTTAGCTCACGCCATCCCTGATGAGGGCTGTAAGTTCAGGTGCCAGACGTTGCACTGAACCAAGGCAAACACTCTGCACTGCTGAACTTTGTGCGGGGCAATGTCTGCCTTGGAAGGCTGGGATGTCAGCTTTCCCAACTGCTGCTGCTGCAAGAGCTGCCATTTCTCATCCATCAGTGTCCACTCTGGCAATCTTTGCTGGGAGAGAAACACGACTGTGTAATACTATGAGTATTGCCCATGTGTGAGTCTTAAAGGCAATGCTGCACTGCAACAGCAAAACAGAACAGGCACTTCCCAGGATAAATGCCTCTATCCAGGGACATCCAGTGTCTTAGCTCCTCTGCCACAGATCACATCCCCCTATGCACATCCTCATACAGTGCCAGGAGAAGGCTACTTACACATTTGAGAGACAAAAATTATTTTTCTCTCTTCTGTTTTATGTGGAACGGTTTACCTTAATTTCAGAGTAATTGGTAAAACTATTTCTAAAATAATCCTGCACCAGAAGTAACAATGCAAGAGCAACATCTCAGTGTCAACAAAGGCAGAACAAGAAGAAGGTGGTTGCTGCATATCCCTAATTACATCCAAGCTCCAAAGGGCTGTTGATGCCAGTCCCTCAAAGCTACCAGCTCTAGTTTGGAATTTGTATTCATGGGCAGCTTGTACTGACACGAAAATCTGTCAGCACGTTTTTCTGGTGGTTTCTAAAGCGAATGGGAAAAGAACAGATATCACATTTGTCACAGGACCACTGCAGTGTTTTTCACACTCACATTTCCCTCAGAAGACACTACCCAAGAGAAGGTTAAGGAATGCCAAGAACCATGATAGATTAAAATAAAGCCTCTCCCATAGCCTTTTGTTTCAAGTTATGAGGTAATGGTGTGGCCATGCAGCAGTTGCAGACACCAGTAACACACTGAGTGCAGCAGCACAGAGACCATGGCAAGATAACCTGCCTGGCCACACTACAATACCCCCAAATATATTACTGCCCTTGGGATCAAGTCCCTCCACTGCCACCCTTTTCTACTCTTGTGCTGCCTCTTATCGTCCTGAAGGACTTCATTCTGACTCACTTCCTCTAAAACTCTCAGATTGCTGCTGTATCTGCCTCTTGGAAATGTCAAGGGAAAGACAAATTGCTGTTATCTGAGCCCAATTGTCTCATTTAAAAGGTAAGTTAATGACGATACAGGTCCTGACTTTAATTACTGGCTACATCCATCTTGGAGTGGTTAATTCTTGGAAGCTTTCCAAGAAATTCACCCTGCAGAGCACATACAGGTGTAGGGCCTGGCAAAACAGCTGCCTTTATGCTTCACTGGTAGGACCATCTCTTAAGTCTAGATACACACTTCTAATGCTCTCCTATCCTCTGCTTTTTCTTTATTTTGTCTCATCAACAGACTAAGACAGCTTACTGTTTCTGTCATTGATTTATGTACATGCATATACACCCAAGTCTGTGCACATTCCACGTCCAGCAATGCCTGAGAAAATGGGAGTTTTGCAGGACACTTTCCTGGAACAGGTGTCTTACATTAAGCCAAACTAAATAAATACAGGACATGTAATGAAATAAACGGCCCCAGAATATAACAGTCAGCTTTTCACATAAACAGTACCTTTTCTTATTAAGGACCTGCTGTTTGTTCTATCAGGAATGGCTTCATCAAAGTGAGACCAAGCAGGCAGTCAGTATTTCCACCCAGCAGCAGTGAGATCCCTAAGAACTTTCAGATCAGGGTTTAGCAGCATCTCAGTGCTGGGTGGAGCTGTAGGAATCACAGCCCTACTACACCTGCCCAGCCCAACCAGCCAGCAAGGTCCATGACTCCTGTCACCCCTGGGCATTCTCCCAGCCCCCAAGATGAGCATGATCCTACCTGTGCCATCTTCTAGATGTCCAAAGTTACAGATCTGGCTGATATTGTGCACCCAGATCTGCATCTCCTCCTCAGTCTTGGCTACCAGGTAGAAGGTGCGGTAGGTGGTCCTCACAATGAAGACAAAGTTGTTCTGAAATTCCTTCTTGATGAAGTTGGGCCCCGAGTGCTTCAGCACTTCGCACTCATTGAGGTCAATGATGCGGATGGGCTTCTTGGAGTGGTTGTTCCTGTAGTATTCCAGCACGTCGGGGTTCCCGCTCATGCGGCCTCTGCGCAGCACGAACCAGCGCCTCCGCCACGCCTGCGAGGGGCACAAACAGGGCTCCTTCAGTGCCAAACATGTAACACATCAACCAGCCCACACATGCACTCATTAAGGTTGGAAAAGATCTCTAAGCTCCTGGCCTCCCCCGACACAACTTAGGGCCATTTCCTCTCGCCCTGTAACTTGTTACCTGGGGGTAGACACCGACTCCCACCTGGCTACAACCTCCTTTCAGGGAGTTGTAGAGAGAGAGAAGGTTCCCCCCTCAGCCTCCTCTTCTCCAGTCTGACCATCTGCAGCTCCCTCAGCCACTCCTCACAGGACTTGTACTCCATGCTTGTTTTCTTTCAGGTTTTATAGTTGTTTCAATAAACTGGCCAAATCATGAATTTGATTTGATATGCTTGCTATCAGCTTGCATTTGAGACCACAAGAAAGGCAGAGGGTTGTCCCTTTGGAGATCAAGAGGAGCAAGACTTCTGTGTTCCCCTCAGGCTGCCTGCATGGTGTAATCAAAATGATCCAACACTTCACCACCTCATCCATATAAGAGATTTTCCCACAAAGACATTTTTCTTTGTGAAATGAAAACACCTAGGACTGCACATATCTGGAAACAAGTGCTTTTTGCCTACCAAAGCCAAGGGTTCCAGATGACCTGTGCAGTTTCCCTCCTGTGGTTTTCAGTGCTAATAAAAAGCTGTTAATGAGCTGCCAGTTACGTCTGAAAGCCCAGAACAAACCTTAAGGAAGCTGTAGCATTTAAAGAGAAAATTTCAACACCTTACAAAAGGATGATTATTTACACAGGCTCTATCAACCTGGCTGAGAAGCTGCCTCTTAACCTGTTTCCCTGTGGATACACCATTTGATCAAGTTTATTGTCTGGCTGGAGCTGTGAGATTGGAGGTGGAGAGGTGCTTGGTCAGAGTGGTTTATGATGGGAGAGGAGAGCAGGGCTCTCAGAGGAAAGACTGGCTATCATAGCTGAGCAGTCATGAAAACAGGGCTGAGGGGAAACAGCCAGATAGCTGCCCAAATCTGCACTGCCCTTGGGAAGGGTGGGCCTCCCCGCTCCATCTCCTGCAGGGCCACCCTCACCACCTTCCCCAGGCTCATGGTGGGGCCCATGCAGCCAGCCAGCCCCCTGTCCAGCTGAAAAACAAGTAGATTTTTCTTGTGGGGGTAACACATGGACTGTAGGAAACATGGAGGAAGTCGGGGGTGGAGTGAGACAGAAGAACTGCCCTTTGGTGATATTGTAAAACTCAAACAAGCCAACAGTCCCTGGCTGCTGCTGTTCAGTGCCCCAAATATTAATGTGCTCTGAGCCTGGTGGTGGTATCTCGTTGTGAGCTGTAGAGACCAAAGCAGGTACCCTGGCTGTGCTGCTGACCCGCTGCTGAAGCTGGAAGGGAGAGGAGGGAGGGGCACTGAGGGATGGCAGCCTGAGTCAGCAGTGCAGGTGAATCAGCATTCACAGGCTCAGATCATCACGGACATATAAGCACTCAACCCCTCCTGAAAGCAGTGCAGGTGCCATGGCAGGGTGGCAGCAGCACAGGACGATGGGGAGTCTGCTGGAACCACCCGTCGAGCTCACCCATTGCCCTGTGCCAGGGGTGCAACATGCCTGCCACCAAAGGGAGCTATCTCAGGGGCAAAACTGCCTCATCCAACACTGGGAAATGAGGAGTGCTGCCAGCCCAGTGCCCCAGCACCCAGCCTTGGCTGGACACAGACAGGCCAGCATCAGGGAGGGGTTAGGAGAGTGGGAGGGGATATGACCAGCTCTTCCCTGGGTGCCTGCTCTTAACATCTAAACAGCAGCTTAATTGTACCATCAAACTGTATCCACACACACACAGTGCACTCACACCTTGCTTCTTCTCCAGCCTCCTTTCTTTGTCCTCCACTCTCTAGGGAACAAGTGGCATCAGCTGCTGACACAATGACACAGCTGCCTTCATGGGTGGGGTTGAAGGACCATCTCCTCTCATTTGACATATCCGGTCCCATCACTGTCTCTCTCGACTCATTTCCATTCTGAAACTTTCCCCAATATGTGCCTTTACTCACAAAATGTTGTCTTCAAAACAGTTTTGCTTATCCTACAATGCACAGGGGTTTTGAGCCACTTGCAGCATGCCTGCAAGAGGACAAGAACAGGTTTGCCATTGCCAATTCATAGGACTCGCCCTGCTCCATGGTGTAGGCAAAGCAGGGGTTTTGGATCTGGCACACCTAAAAGCAGGAGGCTTTTATCTCCGAGTCAAATATCCTCTCCCCATTTTCCTGGAGTTTGCCTGCAATTTGCTACATTATCTCCTTTCCCCGGGGGAAGGGGAGGCAGCACGCTGGGGTCACTGGGAGCCCAGCTGTGGCAAGCCTTGGCCAGACAAGCCTTTGGCAGCAGCTTTTAGCTCACAGGGACCCAGTCAGATCGTGCAGCCATGAGCAGAGGGTGCCAGGCACCTCGCACTCCCTGTCTGCAAGGCAGGCAGTCATGCCCTTCCCCAGTGCCCACCCCAGCCCTGTGGCAGAGTATGGTGGGTTTTACATAGTTTTACATCCCTGGTAGTTTTCTTTTTACCCTTTCCAATCACAAGGCTGCCTCCTCTTTTCCCAGTTCTTCCTGCCATCCCTGTTTTTGTGCCTCTTTTGCATGACCTTCACCAACAGATGTGATGGGGTGTGGCATGTGCCTCCCTTCTCCATCCCTCACCCTGTGCTGACACCACAACACAAGGCACTGAGCACCGGAGGAGGCAGCAGGGCCAGAATGGTGGTGCTGTGGTGAGGAGGGATTTATTTCAGCTGATTTGAGCCAATAATATCTGACAATATTTAGTCTGGAGCTGCACATGCTGCCAAATTTACAATAGAATTTGGATCAATTTAAGGGTGAAAGACTGCACTCCATTTACTTAAATAGGAACTGATTCCTGGGATTCAGCCTAGGCTCCTCACTCACACTATGGAAAGGATCTACATGTCCAGACAAAATATTACATTTATTTGGGGGCCTCCTGAAATAATTTTTTCTTCATGAGGAATGATAGGATGATGATACATTTACATGTCCTCCAAAGCTTTGTGGGCATTAGAGAGAGGCTGTATCAGAAAAACACAACTAGCATCAGACAAGAGCCAACATAAATCTGGAATAATTTTCATCTGTCCTTCCTAAGTGAAATAGTTTGGTGCCAAAAGGAAGAAAGAATTTGCAGCACTGTTGGTCGGCCGCCAGCACGTTGCTTTGTGTAACACAAGCCATCAGTGTTTTCATCTTCATACTGAATTTTTGACTTTAGGAATTCCAGAGCCACTTCTGAAGGGAATAGCTCTGTTTCCACGTCAGTAGGGTTTCTAAGAAAGCAGTCACTCCTTCCACAACCTGATGTCTCTGCTTCTGCTGAATAGGTGGCATGAGGTTTAGAGGGTTGCTCTTACCTGTGAGCATTTGATCTGCCACAGCAATGTAGGATAAAACAGGCCATGAGCAAACCTATTCTGTGCTGAAAAGCAGCTGGCTAGTGAGCAAGGCAGAATGAGAGCTGGAAAGTTTTGGTCAAAGACCTTCATTGCTTACCTTCTGCCCGAGGACTATGTTTTCATTTGTTTTTACAAAATACCCAGTATTTGAGATCTAAATAATTAATTGGAGCACATACAAGCTCAGTGAGGTAAATTGGCCTGAAACGTAATTTTTCCTGGGGGTTTGTTTTTCTCTGGTTTTAATAACAAAACACAGAATAGCCAACAAACCTGAAATTCTTGACTAGCTACATTAATGCTCACGACTCCCCCATGAGGATAATCTTCATTTTACAGAATGCAGCACGGGGGAAGGCAAGGGGAAGCAGAGGGAAGGGTGCATGTGTGCTGACTCCCTGCCTGCCTGGTGGCCTTGCAGCCGTGCTTCTGGGCACAGGACACGTGCTGGTCCCCAGGTCTGCTCTGGCTGAAAGAGGAGTTTGAGAGCTCAGCAATGGGGATGACTGCAAAAGGTTTGGCCATTTGGGATTGTGTCATCCTGCACAATCCCTTGGAGAGAGGAGAGCAGCAAATGCCACCAGCGAAGGGCCTGGCACAGATTCCCTCCCACAGCTGGCTGAGGGCTGGGAGTGCTGGTGTGCACAGTGCTCCTCCTGCCACTCACTGTGGGCCCATGTCTTGACCCACAAGGCATCCTGGGGGCAAGAGAACTAGCAGAGCTGCAGGATGGTGGTCCCATGGGAGTGCCAGCACTTGAGACACGTTTTCATGGCTTGTCTTTTTCAGAGAACAGTTTTTAAACATACTCTTGTGGAAAAAAAAAGAAGTTAGGCAGAACTTTATAGCATTTCCTATAAATGACTTAAAAGAGGAAGTTAAAATTCATATGTAGACGGGTTTGTAAGCAGCTGATTCTAAGCCCACTAAGACCATATATGTTAACAAGGTTTCCCTGCCTACACAGAGTAGGAGATGTTGGGACTGCAGAGTACAGTCCCTGCAAGAGGGGCCTGTACCAGGAAGGAGTCAGGACCAGCTCCCAGCAAACATAATTGTATTCAAAGAGGACATTGTTGGGAGCTCTTTGTGCCACTCGTTCAAGAGCAACCCCATGCAACTCACACTCCTTGGACTGCGAGACCCTTGCAGGAGGGCTCACACCTTCTGCTGGGCAGCCTGCAGGGCTCAGCAATAACACTTCATTTACTCACTCACAGAAATCTGAGATGAAAAAGACCTCTTAAACCGCTCCTCCTCTAACTCCAGTCTCTCCCCCAGCTGGAGTTATGGTTTTGCTGTTTCAGTTGTGGCTGTTGATCTGCAGCACCCATCAGCTCTGCATAATAAATCTCTCCCTGATGAGGCTCCCAGCTTGTCCCTTCCAGTGTGTCCCTGTGCAGCTTTCCGGGAGCAGATGAGCTCATTGACCATCAACTACTGGTTCAATGCTTCTCTTGGATTTTTGTCTGCCTTAATTTCTTCTCAGCTCTCACAAACTT